TACTACTACTACTACTACTACTACTACTACTACTACTACTACTACTACTACTACTACTACTACTACTACTACTACTACTACTACTACTACTACTACTACTACTACTACTACTACTACTACTACTACTACTACTACTACTACTACTACTACTACTACTACTACTACTACTACTACTACCACTCCTCCCTGCCGCGTTCCCAAACGTTTTGGTAGGGATGCGGATAGGCGGTTCGCCTGAGACGTCCTCACAAGATCTGGTCCTGAAGCTTGGCATGTGCAAGCTCCACGGATGTAGGGCGGACCGTTTTCAAAGCGTGGCCCTCGCCTTAGCTATCGCGCGTTCGCCTTACTTAACAGCGTGCAGCAGCTTCAAGGGTGAAGGGTGGGTTGTGTTATCAAAGTGTGGCTCTCGGTCGAGTGTCGCGCACTTTCGTCTTAAAAGTCAGTAGGGGCCGCAATGATTGAGGGCGGGCCGTTTGCGAAACGTGGCTCCCGCCCCATCGCCGCGAACACTCGCCTTACACGTTTGCAGCAGTTTCAAAGCTGGCTGGCAGGACGATTTCAAAATGTAGCTCTCGCCTGAGCGTCGCTCACATTCGTCTCAAAAGTCTGCAGCGGCTTCAAGGATGGAGGGCGGGCAAGTTTCAATATGTGGCTCTCGCCTCAACGCCGCGCATATTCTTCTTTAAAGCCTGCAACCATTTCACGGAGGGAAGCGGGTGCAGATTTCAAAATGTGGTTCTCGCATCAGCAGTGCGCACATGTGTCTTTAAAGTTTGCAACAGATTCAAGGACGGAGGGCGGTTTCTCATCAAAATGTGGCTCTCGCCTTGGCGCCGCGCACTTCTTCTCAAAGGTTGCCAGCAGTTTCAAGGATTCGTATGGTTAAAGTCCCCGGAACGGCGTTCTGGCACGACCTGGTGTTGCAAAGCCGCAAGAGTCACGTTGATTCGCGACGTTGAAATCCCAGGAGTGATAGTCTGGCACGATTTACAATGCCCAGGCCGCACCAGTCATTATGACTTGCGGCGTTGAAGTCCCAGGACTGGCGTTATGACTCCTCCTCCTCCTCCTCCTCCTCCTCCTCCTCCTCCTCTTCCTCCTCCTCCTCCTCGTTCTCCTCCTCCTCCTCCTCCTCCTCCTCCTCCTCCTCCTCCTCCTCCTCCTCCTCCTCCTCCTCCTCCTCCTCCTCCTCCTCCTCCTCCTCCTCCCCCTCCCCGCCCTCCCTCCTCCGTCCCTCCCCCACTCCCTCCCTCCCTACCCCTCCTCTTCCTCCTCCTGCTCCTCCTCCTCCTCCACCTCCTCCTCCTCCTCCTCCTCCTCCTCCTCCTCCTCCTCCTCCTCCTCCTCCTCCCCAACAGCAACAATTACACCATATGAAAACTGCTCTCCTCTCTCCCCTGATGACGTCTGGAAGCTGTCCAGCCCCACTCCGCGTACTGTTCTTTACACACAGGATTCCCAGGAAATATGTTTCCGCTTGGGTTTGTTTCAAAATGATGCTCCCGCTGAAACGCTGGCCCCATTTCTGCGCCTCTGGTTGTTCCAAATCGTGCTCCCGCTGCAGCGCGGGCGTTTTCGGTCCTTCCAAAGGCCCCAAAACATAAAAGATGGCACCCCGAAAAAACTGTCGGAAGCGATTGCACATTCGGTGTGGATTCGCTGATTTGGGGGGCCGCAGAAGCCCCCCCGCTTTGGGGCGTCGTCGCTTTCAGGAAGTATCAAGCGGGAGCCCCGTTTCTGCTTTGAGAAGGCGATGTTGAAAGCAGAGCCAGCGGGTGCTCTCCACCAGCCCCGCCTTGTGTAGAATTTTTCGGAGACCAAGGAGCTAGACATGGAGCCACGACTCCAGACCAGCCCAGACCTCTCGAAGACGATCCACTTACCCTCCAAGGAACCATGCGCCATGCCATGACATGCTGCACGGTGTTGTGTTCTGCGCCGCTGTGCGATGCCATGCTCTGCGCTGCAATGCTTTGTGATGCAATGCTTCACTGCGCAATGCAACGTCATGCTATGGCATGCTACGCTCCGCCGTGCTCTTCTACGCCATGCCATGCCGTGCTCTACCATGCATCGCGTACCCTCTCGCGATCATTGCCCTGCTCGACATCCGGCTGTGCGAATAGAGAGGATATCTACGCCATGGCAAGGGATGGGAGGGAAGGGTAGGACATCAGATATGACGCGAGCGCACCTGGCTTGTCCCATCCCCTCCCCTCCCTCCCCCAGAGCCTCTCCGCCCGCTCGTAGTCCGCGGCGGACGCGCAGGCGTCGATCACCGCGCTGTAGTGCGCGGCCCGGGGCTCCTGCGGGGCCCAGCCAGAGGGAGCGACCCTCCGGACCCGGAGGAGCGCCACCAGCAGCAGGCCAGGCGACAAAGCGACAGAGCTACGGTCAGGAACATTGGCTTCGCGTGCGGAGCCGCCGGCTCTGGCCCACCCCGCCTCGGGGCGACACGCCAACCACGTCCCAGTCCCCGAGCGTCAATGTCACGAGCTCGTCCTGGTCTCGGGTCCCGCGGAGAGGATCCACACGCTGCCGGCTCGCGAGGCACACCGTGCCGCCAGGGCCGCCGTTGCGACACGCTACAAGCCAACAATTCCTGACCGTCCATGGGGAAACCAAGAAGTACCGATACGGCTACTGTGTTCAAAGGAAAATTAGTCCAGTCAAAGAAACCCTTGGACAACCGCCTGGACAACCCGGACAATCCATGCTGACTCACGACGACAAGACGATCTGAAATGGACAACCCTTTGGACAACCCAGAGGGAATCCACACAACCCCTCTGGACGACACCCCTTGGACAAGCCTCCCCGGGAAGTCTCCTCCAGAAAACATCATACTCCCAGGACCACTCCCGGGCTGCGTTCCGACGAGCATCTCGGAGCGAATCCAGCGGTGGCGACGAGGGCCACCCAGGAGGCTCAGAAAAAGGCGATAACGAGGGCAGGGGAGCGGCATGGGTGCCTCTTTCCTCTTCCGAGCCTATGAGTGGCGTGCACGGTGGGTCTCGGCTCTCCAGGCCTCCAGCCAGCCACCTCCGGTGATTAGCAGTACAGCCAGCCCGTGTAAGAAGGCCATGCCGACACGTTGCGAGCGGGGCGCGGCCAGCTAAAGCGGCCAAGGACGAGCCGAAGGGGAAGGACGCAAGGGCAACCTTGGAGAGTTGCTCATCCTTACTATGCGGGTTGACTAAAAGAGCCCCCAACCAGTTGGGAAGGGACCTAAGTCAGGAGGGCCAAAAACAGTAGGGGTAGGGGGTCTGTTTTTTTCCTGCAGATATATTACACCAGACCGCCATGGTTGAGTATCCCCAGTGCAAAGACGGGGACCTAAGCGAGGCCACGTCTTCACTATCTCAATAAGGTTAGAGATTCTTGTCTTTAGCATGGGGGAAACGGGTCCTGAGGGAAACGGGTCCTGGACCCTGGGACCTTACCCCCGAGCGAGACCTTCATCCTGAGCAGTTTTCTGACAGTCCCGGGGCCCGTGGAGGGCCCCAGGAGCCCGAAAACTGCGACCAAAACTCGGGACCCGCTTCCCTCGGGACCCCCTCCCCCCATAGCGATGGATCCTCGACGATCTGGGAGAGCAGAGCCCCCAGGGACCGGTGGGCGGGCAACGGCCCGGCGGTCGAAGACGGCAAGGGGGGGAGGGCCTCTGGAAGGCCCCCTGCCCCCTGGGAAGGGTTCCCAGGTTCCCGGTCGATCTTCTTATCGATCTCTTTATTCCATTTCAAACCATCCACTGATTGGGGTGTTTCTCTGGTGTAATTTTTAGACGGTCCCGAGGCTGAGTGAGGGCCCCGAGAGGCCACAAACCGCAAAGAACAACCCACCTCGATTTTGTTCGAGACGCCAGATGCCGAAGGGGGCGCGTGGAGCGAGGGAGCAGTTCTGACGGCGGGAGGTGGGGGTTCATCCATATCCACCACCTGGGAACCGACGTCCTGGCGCCCCAGCGGGCGGAGGATATTGATATATTTTGGCCCCCGGGGGCCCGAATCTATCCACATCCACCGCCCGTGGATGTCCGCGAAGATCGATCCCCAGGCGGTGGGTATGGATGAGTCCCCGCCTCGGAGACAGCTGAGGGGGTCGAAGGCGTCCAAGAGGGGGGCGTCCAACACAGAGGGGGGGAGCGCAAATCATGGCCGGCGGCATGCGCGCGGCCCAGAGGGAGGGGCGCCGGGGACACCTTGAAGTAAGAAGAGGCGCCAGGACGACTGGGGAGGTATGATGGCCATGGCCATGATATCCACCCACCCATCCCTGGTCATCACTCGGGGATCTTCTGACCCGGCTCAGTCAGGCCTTGCAGAATCCTGCAAGATCCTGCATCCCAAACCCAGGTCGACGCGAAGGACCCTGCAGGATCCTGCAAGATCCGGCGCCCTGGCTGACCCCCGCTTGCATCGACCCCCGTCCCTTGAGCGCCGAGTCACCCCCCTCGTCGGCGGTGGACAGACCTCCCTTTAGTGAACCTCACTTTAGTGAAAACGGCCTGGGACCAAAACCGACGGACCCAGACCCGCAAAAATGACGGCCGCGACGCCCCCTCGCGAACCGAAATCGGCCAATTCCTTAATCGACGTGTCAGGGTGGGAGGTCTGTCCACCTCCGATCTTGGCCGCCTTCGGGAGAGGAGCAGCTCCGACGGCTCCTGCCCCACGTCGAGCATCTCGTACAGCACGTCCTCGGCCTGGTCCACCAGGCCCTGCTGGGCGAGCCCGCGCAGCTCCGCGAGCCGGGGGTCGTCGAGCGCCCGCGCCTCGGGGGCCGCGGGAGCAAGGGCAGGGCCCGAGGCGCAGGGAGCAGCTCCCGGGGCGCCTTCGTGAGAGCGAGGAAGTGGAGGGACAGAAGCCTGTCGCCCCCAGAGGCGAGGCCCCAAGAAGCGCCCAAGAGGCGCCCAAGAGGCCCCCAAAGAGGACCCCCCAGAGGCCCCCAAGAGGCCCCCAAGAGACTCCAAGAGGCCCTCAAGAGGCCCCCACGAGGCCCCGAGAGGCCCAAAAGAGGTCCCCAAGAGGCCCCCTAGAGGCCTCAAAACTGCCTCCACGAGGCCCCCGAGAGGCCCCCCACGAGATCCCAGCGGATATCCGATAGGTAGGTAAAAGCATGAAGTAGGTAGACAAATCAAATAGATTGCGTTCAGGCCCTCCCAGAGAATCACAAAACACCTCAAAATCATGCCGAATCTTGTGGTAGAAAGGCACTTGAAATATAGTGGGAGCTGGGGATCCAAAAATACATACTTTCAACGACCGGCGTGTACTGTCGGACTTGGTTGGACAGGACACCTGAGAGGACACAAGACTCTTCCGACGGCAACGTGGTCCCAGAACACCAGAGGACGTGCGGGTTGCATAGGTCGGGATAGACTGGACACAAGTGTACACTCGATTTGGCATGGTTGACCTACCAATCAGGGCCGACTGTAAGTAGAGGGGCAAAAATCTGAAAACATAAACTGTTGAAAATCCGCGCAGATTTCTTGGATCCGCGCTGCCCCTGCCTGGCGCGCAAGGGCGGCGCCGGAGGCGCCGCCAGGAGGGGCCTGGTGCCCATCCAAGAAATCGGCGCGGAGCGCCAAAAGTGTATGTTTACGCCGTTGTTTCTACTTCGAAGTCGAAAAAATGAATCCGATTAGAAAAACCATTCAGCCATCTCAAACCAGCTTAGGCCAAAGATTAAGCCGGATTGAACTGGATCAAGCGGGATTAACCTTGATGGATCAGGTTTATGCCAAGTTTGGCCAGTTTACTACCACGGATCTGGGCCGATAATACTGGATTTGGCCGAGTATGCTGGATTGGGCGCGGGCTCGGGCAAAATCCGAGGCTCCAGAACCCCCAGATCCCCTCCAAAACACTCTCACATACACACACCCTTACTTAAAGAAATATCCGCCAGCGTTAACTCCAAATAGACTAACCGACTCAAATCAAGGAATCAGAGGAATCAAACATGCTTGGAATCCGCAACTCAGCAAGCAAGCAAGCGTGCAAGCAAGCGCGCAAGCAGGCAAGCAAGCAAGCAAGCCAGCGTGCAAGAGCGCAAGCAAACAAGCAAGCAAGCAAGCGCGCAAGCAAGCAAGCAAGCACGCAAGCAAGCAAGCATTAAAAACATAGGCATAAGCATTGGCATAGGCATATGAGCGCTCAGAGGTGGTGCATAGGCATAGGTATAGGCATAGGCATAGGCATTGGCATAGGCATAGGCATAGGCATAGGCATAGGCATAGGCATAGGCATAGGCATAGGCATAGGCATAGGCATAGGCATAGGCATAGGCATAGGCATAGGCATAGGCATAGGCATAGGCGTAGGCATAGGAGTTAGAGGGGCATAGGCATAGGCATAGCCATAGCAATAGGGATTGGGGGGCATAGGAATTAGGGGGGGCAATGGACCAATAGTAAGGTTTGAGTTAGAGCTCCTGTAGGGCAAGCCTATGTGGAGAAAAATACCACAGAGGTTTTTCATAATTCCCAACCTCTCGGGGCCCTCAGCGGGCCTCGGGACGCTCAAAACAAACGACCCGGGGTGAAAAACTGATGCCAGGGAAATGGTCGGGACTTCTTGGAACCCCGCGTTGGAAAACTCCAGACATCGCATGTTTGGGCCCAAGCCCCCTGATCCCCTCTAAAACCTGGGTAGGCTCGAGGATCAGGGCGTCAAGGATGTGTTGAGATTCACTTCGTGGGCATCCGGGGAGCCAAAAAAAACCTGTTTTCGGGAAGGGGGGGGGGGGGGGGCAGAACGCACCCCTGGACAGGTCTGAAGGGCCGGTTTATGACTGAGCCCTGCACCCAGACCTCCTCGCGGCGTAAAAAGTTATTGTTAACACAAACGACGGAAGGTTTTTGTCGCCATTTTCGGCCTCGGGGGGGTCCTAAGGAGGGGCCCCAAGAACGTCGAAAAATCGCTTGGCATGAGAAAGTGGTGTCGGGGAAGGGGTCCAGACCTCCAGGGGCCCCACGGAGTGAAAAACCATGACGCCAGGGGCCTGGGCCATCAGATTGAGACCGGCGACCGCCAGTTCGAAAGCCCCTAGCATCCCAAAGCGGTGGTCAGATCACTGCTGCCTGACACTCTGGACCCCCTACGAACACAGGACAGGCAACCCGAACCTCCAACATAACGTCGTGATTTGTCAGAATCTGGACTCCAGAGGTCTCGACCCATTCCCCGAAACCGGCTTTTCATCCCGAGGCGTTCTCGACGGCCCCTGAGCTGGGCGAGAGCCCCCATAGGCCGAAAATTACCAAAAACTCGCCGTCGCGAGTGAATCACGACGCGAGGGAGTCTGGGAAATACGCCTGCATCGCACACGTTACACCTCGTCGTTATATCGCGCACGCCTGGCATTTCGGACTCCGCCAGAGGCTCGCGAGGACAACCAGAAGCAGCAGCGGCCACTGGCAGCGGAGGCAGCAGCCAGTAGAGGGGTGGACTAAGAGGGAGGGCAGCGGGAGGAAGATTTGGACAATGAGAGCGGGGTAGGAACGAGGGTGAGGAGGAGGACGAGGACGAGGAGGAAAGGAGACCATGGGGAGTGCGAGGAAAACGATGAGGAGGAGGAGGAGGAGAAGGAGGAGGAGGGCAAGGGCAACGGCTGGAAGGAGAAGGAGGGGGGGAGGAGGAGGAAGGCGAAGCTGAAAGGGGGGCAGGCGGAGGGCGACAGCGAGAAGGGTAGGAGGGGGGCGGGGGGGGCACGAGGCAGAGAGCAAACAAAAAACGGACCCTAAGCAGGAACAGGAGGAGGAGGACGAGCAGGAGGGAGGAGGGAGAAGGAGGAAGAGGGAGGAGGGAGGAGGGAGGAGGAGGGAGGAGGAGGAGGAGGAGGAGAGGAGGAGGAGGAGGAGGGAGAAGGAGAAGGAGAAGGAGAAGAACGAGGAGGAGGAGGAGGAGGAGGAGGAGGAGGAGGAGGAGGAGGAGCGCGGGAGGAATCACAGGGGATGTGTCGACCCCTGTCCCAGGCTCCGTGGGGTCTTCGGATGGGCCAGACATCTGGGGCCCGACCCTGGGATGCAGGACGGGGGGCGTGCATCCTCGACGGGGGTGCGTCCGATTTGTAGCCCCCCTGGGGCGCATCCCGGAGTTCCCCCCCCCCCTTTTCTGAGCGGCTCCATTTTCCGTCGAAAGGTCGAGGGCTGGGGGCGAAGAATCGCCCGCGAAGGACGAGCAGGGAAGGCACGCGGGGTGGGGGAGCCCAGACACCCGACGGCATGGCCTTCCCGCGCCGTGGATCCCCCACACACAACCGCAGAGGCCCGGACCGCTTCCCGCGGACCCGCTCTGCACCTCCTGAGCCGCGACCTGACGGCACCTGGGGCCCGCCCAGGGCCCCCCGAGGTGGAGAACCACCAACAGAACTTCCGTCCCGGAGATCCGGCGCCGCGAACAGAAAGGCAGCATCGCGAAGAATCGCGCGTCTGGAGCCCTGGGCCCCCCCTCTTGCTGCGCCATTCTTCGAGCGCGATCGATCTGTCATGGCCCGGGGCCCGAAACCATGCGAAAACGCCAGGCTCGGAAAAAAAAGTCGCCAGGATCTCCGGGGTCAATATCTTTACGCGGTGCGAGGAGGTCAGGACTAAGGGGCACGGGCCCGATCGCCCAGAGACCGCTCGCCCACAAAAGCGGCCGCTCGCCCGCAGGGCCGCTCGCGCAGAGGACACGGCCGCCAGGACGAACCCTCGGCCCTGAGAGGCCGCTCGCTCTGGAAGCCTGCTGGGCGAACGGGCGCGCCCTCGCGGGCGGGTCGGCCGGGCCCCCCCGAGGCCGCAAGTTACAGGACGCCGAATCAAAACAAAAAACGTGCTTGGTTCACGACGCGAGGGGGCCTGGGGAAGCACAAACGTCCAGAGGCCTGCGCGAACTTCTTGGGTCAACGCTAACCCACCGCCTCCCTGGCCCCGATCACCATCATCATCATCATCATCATCATCATCATCATCATCATCATCATCATCATCATCATCATCATCATAACCGAAGTAGTGGCCCTGAGTGTGACTCTGAGTGAGGAAGAGAAGGAGGAGGAGGAGGAGGAGGAGGAGGAGAAGAAGGACCACTGTAAACCCAAGAGTCATCAACGATGTTAGAATAACCCCCCCTCCAAGCTCCCTCTTCATAGGCCCCTACAACGGTTAATTTCCACTGAGGGAACTGCCTCGGCCCTGAAGCATGCCAAAACATTGTTCTCGGAATTCCAACGCCACGGATCAACCTGACTGTTGCGTGCTGACGATCCTGAATCGCACCAGAACGCCATTATTGCCATTCTTGGTTGGGACTTCAACACCGCGAATCAACGTAAGCGTTGCGCCCTCATAATCCTGAATCTGTTCAAACACCATTTTTGGTACGTTGAGCTTGGAAATCCGTGAAGTTCTTGCAAATGTTAAAAGCGAATGTACGCGGCGCTAAGGGGAGACCCCAATTTTGAAAAGGAACACCCTCAATCCGAAACTCTTGCAAATGTTTAACACGAATGTGCGCGGCGCTAAGGGGAGACCCCAATTTTGAAAACCACCCGCCCTCAATCCGTGAAGTTTGTGCAAATTGTGAAAAGGAATGTGCGCGACGCTAGAGCCAAAGCCACATGTTGAAAATCACCCGCCCTCAATCCGTGAAAAAAATGTTGCAATTGTTGAAAATACATGTGCGCGGCGTTTATGCGAGAGCCACATTTGAAAACGGCCCGCCCTCCATATGTGAAACTGTTGCCACTTTTTAAGCTTCAGGGTCATCAATGGTGAGGAGACCTCACGCGA